CTGCTGCAATTCCATTAAGATTAGGGACTTAAAACTACACTGAGATGTTTAGCACTGGGTGACCCTGGTCTCCCCATAGTTGTATTTCTATAATCTTGAGGAAACAAAGATTAACTCTTGTCCCGCATCCCATACTTTTTGCTTTCTAGCAGCAGGGAAAGAACCCTTTGCAGACAGTGCTGGTGTTGGCTGGCAAAAAGACTCTCAAGTTGCTGAGCAATTCATGTGCTGTGCAGGTGTAACACTTGAAATCCCAGCCTGCAGGCACTCTGATGACACCATTCCCTGAACAAACGCATGTATCCAGAGAACAAAACGCTCTTCCAGGCGGGAACAGGCACAGCCTCAGCCACTTCCTCTTTGACAGGGGGCAGAGGAAGAGGCAGAGGCTGTTTCACCTTAGCTCAGCCCCTCACAGGGTCCAAAGTACAGAGGCAGATCATCTTCCTGAAAATGTGCAGTTAAATAGGGTCCCAAATATTTGTCTCTGCTAAAAGTAAGCCAGCACACAGGCAATGTGAGCATGGGAAGAGTGAAGCAATCAGCAACGCTCCATCAGGAACTGCCGATTCCCCCCAGCAGTTTGAATTCTGCAATTGATGAAGCAGGAAGAGACAGCTCTGACCCTAAGAATCTAGTGTAACCTCATACCTTCACCTCAGGCAATGGAAGAAAGAAAGGACACTTCCCTCCAACTGATTGTGGAGTGCCTTTCAGCCTGAGGGATAACCCTGAACTCTTTGTGGAGATCAGTGATTCCAAACAGAGGATTCAGCTACCCTGGCCCTGTCCGGAGGTAGAGGCGGTGGAGGAAGCTCACAGGTCCACAGGGCCATGCTGATCTGCTGGAGATAGGCCAGCTTAGGGCTTCCCTCCTACCCTTGGGTCACCAGTGGTCCTTGTGCTGCTGCCTAGGGACCTGAAGCATCAGGTCCCTGCTGAAGCACCCCTGCAAAGCCATGGGAAGCCAATACAAGAGACAGCTTTTCCCTCCAGATCAACCTGCTGAAGCAAGTTCAGCAGGTAGCCTGCTCCCCAATGGTAGTGCAGAGTGTCAAGCAGCACACGCTTGTCAGTCTGAAAGCAGCTCTCAACAGGCAACATCCACATCACAAAAGCTGTATAATTAGCCTTACCTGGCTTGAAGTTAGCCATTATGTTTCCTTCCTGCCCCCTCAAAAACAAAAACCAACCAAACAAGCAAAGGCTTCTTTGCTACCAGGTGATGGAGCAGCATGATACTGAGAACCAGTAGAGGGGTCACAGGGACCCTTGTTTCTTTTTTTGGGTAAACAAGGTTGCCCTCCTCATGTAGGAGTGCCCTCCTTCTCCCACCCCAATAGCCCTGGCTTGGGCAGCTGGGAACTGACACAGATATAGAAAGGAGGTGAATTTAAAAGGAGAAAAAGCCTCAAGCCAGAACTGCTCTCCTGCTCTCCACCATGCCTGTGGAGCAGGGATGGCAACTCCCTCTCTGGCTGGAGGGTCTTGCACAGGTGGCCTCAGCACCTTCACGTGGGCACCAAGGGGAGGATGCACACAGGCAGTGAATGGAAGAAGAGGAGTGTTTGTTATGAGTTTGCGAACGTTTATCTCAGGAGCAGTAACATATGTCGATGGAAAGAGTTACAGGTGCTGGAGCAGGCTAGGAGTCATGGCTAGTTTTACGAAACTGAAACCTCTGAGCAAGCCTGGCTGCATGGTGCTGGTACAGGAGCTGTCCCTAAAGAAACTGTTCTTTTATGTTAAAAGAAAGTGAGATGAAGACTCAAATGGAGATGATAAGTTTGATTTTATCTAAAGATGTTTTTGAGGTGCCAATTTCAGTAACTCCTTGAGACCAGGCAAACAACTTAGTAGAAATGCCACAAAGGTTTAGCGTTTACTTTCTTATGTCTCTGCCTAGAGTTAGATCTAGCCAATGTGGAAGAAAGCTCCTTTATTTGAATCCCAAAGGGCTGTATAATCTAGAATAATACCTACAGCCTTTTGTGTCGGTAGCATGAGGTTACCTTTGGGTAAATACATTGGTACCGAGCTCACATGCTCTCCCCATCGCAGACTTTTCCTGCTGTTATAACCATGGTGAGCAGATCGTCCCCTCCCTTTGCTTTTGCTTCTCCATGACCTCCTCACAGCGAACTGAGAAGGCTTTCCTTGATGCCACCACATATGGCACATGCTATATGTTATGTAATTACAAATATACATACAACATCTCCTCTTTGAAATCCTCCTGGTTTTAAATTCAGTTCAGAAAGCAAACATGCTCAGCCACAAGTCCCAGTTTCATCTTGAATACTGGCCACACTTTAATACCAGTTTTAATCTAGGTGCCCACTGTATCTCTGAGGCAGGCCTAGCATGCTATGTTGCATCCAGCAGCTTGGATCAACCTTGCAACTGCTGCACTGGTGCAGTCAAGAATGGGACATGAATTTTCAGTAGCAGGACTGGGTCTCCCTGAGCACTGTACCTTCTGTTGTCTTTTACACCTATGGAACCAGCTGTAAGATACCACTCCCTGTTCTTAATATTTTCACTCTAGTTCACACAGATGAAAGCAGTGCAAGATGTGCAAAAAAAAAGCATACAGGACCCTGCACAGAAGGACACTGTCCTTGAGTCACAGCAAGACAGGAATCTGAATTCCTCCTTAAATCTGGTCCAGTACAGAGTCAAGCCCTAGAAGAGAGGAAATTGTGCTTGACAGATGCAATCATATGCAAATGGCTGTAGAAGAGGGGAAATTATCATCTACAAACATTGGGCAGAAATTCCATCTGCTGCAGCCTCAAGAAGGGCTCTTAATAAATTCTGAGACAGCAAAGTGACACACATCTTAATCAAGACTTAATCCATGGAATTAATTCACTGTGCGTTTCTGCATAATTCTGAGAGTAATGCTAAAAGCCATGGCAATATCAGCAGCAGATGGACTCCCCCTACTCCATGCAAAGGTATTAAAGAAAACACAGCCCCTGTCACATCACTTTGTGTACGTACACATGGCAAAAAGCAACAGGGCTGTGCCCTGCTGCTGCCAGCAGCTTAACACAGCCGGCAGACATCAAAGGTCAGGCTCGCCACGAGGTGGAAATGGAAACCAGCCGCCTGGCAAAGATGGAGCCCTGCCACTTCTCTCCCATAGGAGAGGAGAAGCCCAGACCAAGGCAAAGGTCTGGGAAACAGCACCAGGGCCCTTCATTAGATGCTGCTTCCAGAGAGCAGTGACTGAGGCTGGTGTTGAGACAGATCCTCCAGTAGCCGAGAAAGGCTGGGAGTGGAGACCAAGTGTAGGGGAGGGCAAGAAAAACTGCTAGGGGGTTTGTGAGTGAGATCAGTTGCAGAAGCGAGCCAGATAACCATTAGAAATGGCTCCCTGCCCTCTCACCGCAGTCTGGGAAGCACGCTGCAGGTATGGGGATCAGCCTTGCCAAGGGCCCTGGCGGCAGCCTTGCACAAATTGACAGGAGGCTTTAGACAGCTCTGAAAATACATTCTTAGTCACTGTCATCCATCTCCAAAGGAGGTGCAACAGCTATGTGATTAATCTCTTGTTTACATGTCTAAACACTAGCACAGTCCAGACCGCCTTCAGCACACTCCCTCCCTGACCTGCATGGATTTGAGGGGCTGAGCAATCCTTCACCACCTAGAATCCAATCTTTACAACTGACCTCCGCATGCAGTTTGGAAGTCCCAAACACCTGGTCCAAACCTCCCTAAACTCAGGGGTCCCAGATCCTGGCACAGTGCATTGGCTGCTGTTATGTTTTAGAGGGAGCGGATCCCTAGCTGGGAAGGTGAGGTGTCAGCTGGGGGTGGCTGAAGCTTCAGAAGCTGCTGTGGTCGCCTCCAAGTGATCCAGCCTTCATAAACCATGCACTGGTGACAATGCAACATCCTGCATTTGCCAGGGTTATGATCCAAAACTCAAATTAAGGGCCAGCACAGGGCCAGCTCACCTTTCCAAGGGGATGTGGCCAGACTTGGAACACTTACTGCTTCACATCTGCCTCTTCATGAGCATCCAGTGTGGTCCAGAACAAAGTGGTACTCTCAGCCGAGCTCTTCTGGGCAATACAGGTGGAGGGTGGAGGGGCCCCAAGGAAGCAAATGAGAGAATAATCATGAGAATAATTGATCTTGAGACAGAGAGGTGAGGAAAGAGGTGGCAGAGGAGTCACAGTGATTCCTGCAATTGTGTGGAGCAGCACTGCCAGCTTTCCAGTTGGAATGCTTTCATCTAGGGGAGATGCCTCACCAGTAAAGAACAGTCACTTGAGGGGACATGGGGAGCCTTCAGTCAGGATGACCTAAGGTTGGAAGTGAACTGCTTCTGCAGCCAGGATCACTAGTTCCCAGGCACCCAAGGGCATGTAATGTGATTCCTGTGTTAATTCAGGTTCCAGAGGCCCTTATGTACCCCAAAGGAGTCCACTTACACTGCCTGGGTCCCTGCTTGTAGCAGTGGCTGTGCAGGCAGATGTGCCTTCCTATCAGTGCCAGGCACAGGAGTGCTTTTCTTTTGGGATGTGTGCCTGTAGTGCTCTCTGGGCAGCTTTAATTGGGCTTGACCAGCTTGTGGAGAAGCAAGATAGAAAGAGGGCAGGGAGGATGGGAGAGGTGGGATGACTGGGGAAGGTGCTAACAGCCCTTGGCTGGCCCAGAACCACTTCCTCAGATCTCCATTACACAGCATGCTCCCGGCGTTGCTATTTCAGTCTGAATGTCACCTATAAATTGGAGGCTCTTTCTCTGAAGGCTGCAAATAGAAGTGTCACTAGATGATCTTTGATTTATAGAGAAGCTCAGCAGAAAGCCAGGTATGCCCATTTTCCAGCCAGGAAACTCAAAGGGGTCCAAGGATCACACAGGGATCCTTTACTTTTCCCAGACCTTTCCTCAAGGGTTGGCAAGTCCCTGCTGGAGGGTGTGGGGAGAGGTCACACACATAGATTCATCTCCCTGATCACCCTGTGACTGCTGTTTTTCAGATTCCTCCTCCTCTACCACCCATCCCTGCCCCATGGATTTCAACCTTCTGGCAGACGCGGAGGCTCGCAGCCCAGCCTTGTCTCTCTCGGACTCTGGAACTCCTCAACACGAGCACAGCTGCAAAGGGCAGGACCACAGTGGTGAGTGCAAGGCTCAAGAGGCATGAAAGACCCTGACCTGTCATTTTGGGTTGATCTGGTTCACCAGTGGCTTGCAGGAACCAGCTGCAGGGCTCCCAGGGATACACGGAGCTTCCTGTTGTACCGGGAGCCAGCACAATGGTGTAGCAGCACGGCTGTCCCAGCAAGCAGGGAGAAGGCATAGGGGTGCATATGGCAATGACAGCCATTGGGAAGGCAAGAGCACCATTCCAACCATGGAGTTGCCTGGCCCTGGCTGCAGGTAGCCACTGCTCACAGAGGGCACAGCCCATGGCAGGCAGGAGCCAGGCAAGCCAGGTCACAGTCCAAGCAAGATTTTATTGTATTTGCCTGAACAGTATCCCCAGAGCAGTAGAGTTCTCCCCACAATACAGGAAATCTTATCCAAGGCACAGAAGGCTACACCTAATTTTAAACTGCCCCCTTTTTTTTTTTTTTAACTCTGTTTAAATTGTTTAGGTTTAAACTTTCAATGCTATAGGTAAACCATGGGCTGAACTTCCCAGGTTCAGGCAATAAGAAAGAAGGGAAGCACTGTCTTGCTCCTGCTTTGGCTGAAAAAGCACGCTCACCTGTGCCTCGGTGCAAGGCTCTGCAGCAGGCTGTTGCTCTCCCCAGGAGGTGCCTCTGACCATTCCCAAAGGCTGAACAAACCCCAAGTCTGCTGCATTCTTTATCAGGCTCTGAATAAGAAACATCACCATTCATACCTGTTTAGAAATCAGCTACCAAATGCTATGGCTTCCCCTGGATTTTGCATCTATCCAGTGACTGCTCCATCCCTTGTCACTCTGGATGTGTCAGGACAATGCAAAGCTGCTCCTGCTAGTGCCAACATGAGGGGAGGTGAGGGCTGGGGACAGCCTACTGCTCTTCGTGTAAAGCCTCCAGGCTCACCCATGTGCAAAAGCTAATGAGTATAATGATGCAGATTAACATTCCCCAGAGTAAGTATCATGAAGGGAGTTACGGGGGGATAACTATGGTCAGAGAATCCACCTGCCAAATTCCCCAATGCACTTGTACCTTAGTTGGGCACATCCCCAAGCTCAGTGGCTCCTCGTCAGCTGCTTTGGATGCATGACAGCGCCTCCATTCAAGTGGCCTTCCCAATCATGCCCACCCTGGCATGCCACAGAACTGCCAATTTAGGCGCTGACTTTTTTTTCCATTAGGCATGAGCAGCTAATTCCAGCTATGACCACAGTCGTTTCATTGAGTGGGCGAACGTGCACAAGATTTATTCCACAGCCTATTCTGGGGTGACAATAAATGCTGGATGCCTGGCTACATCATTCCTCACTGTCTTAAATGGTCTAGAAATAAAATGGTTCTGGGAGGTGAGTGTTTGTCAACTCTACCTGCATGCTGAGGCTGGCAGCTTGTGCCTTTGCACCACAGGCTGATGGCAGCCACACACCAGCAGTGTCAGGCAGAGCAGAGCTGGCTACTGAGGGCTGCCCGGGACAGGACAGGGCTGCACTTCTGGCACTTCCTGAAGAGAGCAGCCTCCCTACTTCTCTTTGGCCCTGTTTCATTAATCCACAGAGTAAGAGATCCCGAGGAAGTGAACAAAAATCTTGCTTGTCTGAGCTCAGCTCTCAGGGATCTCAAGTGTTCTCTGATGGTATGGCACGGTTTGTGACACCCCCTTCTGTTGGTTTCATTAGGCAGCACAGGTAGGAGGAGAGCAAGGATGAGGAGCGAGGTGGGTAAAGAACTGCCCCACATTCCCCCATACTGTGCTTCTCAGCATGGATTCAGGGCACCCACATCCTTTGTGTGGGCTCCCTTCTTTCTCTGTATTGCCACGTTGCTGACCCCCACTGCAATGTCAAATCTCTGCCCCATTTACAGAGAGCACTTCTTCCTTGCATAGAGAGAAAGCAGAAAAGATGACATTCCCTATAAGCAATGCTCAGAAAGAGCCACAGGTAGCAGGCATGGAAACAAAGAGGACAAGATGAACTTGTAACTGCAGGAATTTTTCCAGGCTCAAAGTCAGGATTCCTACTTCTCCTTAGACTTAACAAGATTTATGAAAAGCTCTACACCAGAAGATATTGAGAAGATGAATTGAATACCAAAGCAAGATACTTCGTGATCCTTTCCGCCTAGATGCAGCCCGTAAGCCAGTGCTACCTTCGTTCCCTCTCGGTATAGTTTCTTCCTGCGTGAAGAAGGGCAGTCCTGAGCAGGAGCTCCTGATTAGGGCACAGTCTCCTGCTTCACAGCAGCCCCTTTGGAAACAAACATTTGTCAGGGACTGGTGAGAACATATCGCCTGTATGCATCAGGCTTCTAATTAACCCAGGCTCAGCAGATGAACAAACAAACCAAATGTTGTCAGTTCTTCTGTACTGAACCATTCCTAATAACTAGCTCAGATGTGGTGGTATCACTCCCCTTTTAATGTTTTGGAGATGGATAATGCATGAATCTCCCTCTTCCAATACTAGTTTAGAGCATTCAGCTAGAGAAGTCAGATTTATATCCTTGTCAAGAACCACTATCAAAAAATTCACATTAAGAGCATGCTTCCAAGAGTCCTGCTGAACATGGGATCCCCACACAAAGATGCTCATGGAAATGAGAAGAGTACCACAAGACCACAGTAAGCTCTTTCGTTCCACTTTTCAGTTCCTATGGCTTTGTCTGTTTCAAGAGTGCACTGTGACAGTTCTTGTACAGATACACCCTGGATGGAAACACAAGCTGGTCCTGGCACTGGGAACAGGACGCGGCACCTTCCTGCTTGGAAGAACCAGCTTACATCCTGCTGCTGTGAACAATGGCCATCTCGCTCTCCTTGCATTCACATTCCTGCTGGTGGATAGCATTTGATGTGCCACAGAAGGAGAGGTGGGTGGTGAGGAGCCTGTGGGGAACCCACATTGCTTCAGTCAGTGCAAGACATGCCCACAGAAGCAAACCTCTGACCACACTCAGGCCTTCCTCTGCTGAGAGCGAGCACCCCTTCTGCAAATGCTCCTGTGACTCCAGCATTGCTCCCTTTGGAGAAAGGCAAGTACAAGGAGGGTTTTCCAGGAACAGCAGGAAGATTTCTGAATTAACAGACTGTCACAGGAATGGGGTAGCAGCACCAGGTTCCTGAGACAGGAGCATCTTCAAGGGCTGGGCTCCATTAAAGCACCTGCTGTTAGAACAGCACTGCCCTGCAGCAGAGTCCTTTCTCTGTTGAGGCTTAGATACTTTTAAGTTTCCCCCTTATGCCCCATAAAAGCTAAACGGAAAAGATGGAGCCTATTTTCCAGAGCATATCCATCTGACTTGAGGAACCCTTTTTCTCCTCTCTCAACTGTATTCCACGCTACTGTTTTCTTGCCTCTCTGCTTTTCAAGGGAACATACCAGATACCTTCATGCTCAGATTTTTCTGGACTTTGAATCCTTTTAAGCTTTCCACTCAAAGAATCACAATCAAACAAAAATCTGAATTTCAGCAGAGTGATGTCAGGATTTTTTTAAAGGTTTTTCTTCTAAGTGGAACAGTTTGAGAGCTTATTTGCAATAATTTTTATTTAGTTTAGCTCTTTCCCACTGTAAAAGGACTCTCCTCCTGCTGAAGACCTGATTTTCAGTTGGAAATACTTCACCTCGCTTCTAGATCAGAGGTAGAAGGAGTTGAACATCAGAAATTATTTGTTTTCACTGGAATAATTTTCTCCTGTGGTGACTCGTTGTGATTCTCAGCAGAATTAAACACAAGCTAAAGCTTTCTTCCATCATAAAAAGAAAATGTCCCATTTGAGCACTTGGGCAATCTATGGAGGACAACTACAGGGAAGATGGTTGTGTTTTCATTCTGCCCCTGTTTGCAGAGTACCAACAGCATCAGAAGGGGCTGTGGCACAGGGAAGCACCTGGCTGCCCACCTCCAACCACGGCAGCCCAAAGCTCAGCATTGAGACATTGTCTCAGTGCCCAGGAGGAGGCTGAGCTGTGTGTTTCGGTTAGATACCAGTGTGAACGCTGGAAAGTTTTGAGACGTTCATTTAAGGGGCAACAAAATGAAAGACATTGCCTCTAGGAGAGGAGTCTCTGAGTGAAGAGACAGGCAGAGGCAGGAAGAAAGAGAGATGCTGGAGTACTTCGTGATAAGGTCTAAGAGAGGCCTTTTCCTGCCTTTTAAAAATCAAAATATGTACACCTAAGTAAGAAGGTAGAGGAGCAAGAAGGGAGGAAGGGTGAAAATTTGTGTTTCTCAGGTTTAGTTAATTGAACAGCCTCAACTTGTTATCATTGGCAATTTGCCTTTTCCCATCACTTGTCCACAGCAACATTGCTGTGCCATAAGCATCAATTTCTCTTCAGTTTTTCTAGAGGACACCTTAGGCAGAGAGTTTTAAGCAGAGTAAGAACCTGCTAACCTGGGTAAGTTCTGCCGCTATCACCCATGTGAACTGCGACAGATGAAAACCAGAGACTGGAAGTTTGGAAAATCTAAATCCAGTCACTTGCAAGATAATATCTATTATGGCAGTTAAATGATGGCAAGCTGTGCTGCATCAAGGGGCCATTGTTTTTGGTGCAGGGTGGATGCCTGCTCACAAGGACAAGGGAGGGAAATGGGACCGTAAGTGGTGGCTGAAGTGGAGGGGGACCTCACTGAGCATGCACTTGCTCCAAGGATAGGCTCCCCAGCTGCATCCAAGTTAACTCAGGGGATGTCTCCCATTTTTCTGTCTCTCACACAGACACAGAGAAGTCCCAGCAAAACCAGACGGACGACTCCAACCCTGAAGACGGCTCGCTCAAGAAGAAGCAGCGAAGGCAGAGGACACACTTCACCAGCCAGCAGCTCCAAGAGCTGGAAGCCACTTTCCAGAGAAACCGTTACCCAGACATGAGCACCAGGGAGGAGATTGCAGTCTGGACCAACTTGACAGAGGCACGAGTCCGGGTAGGACTGCAGCTCTTCCACCTTCCTGGGCCTGAGTTTGTGGGGAAGAAGCTGGCTGTGCTACAAGGATAAAGCTGTCCCCAAATCAGGGAAGGAATTGGGAGCACTAGGAAATTTCCATTTTGGAAACACCTCACCAAACTCTACACTTGAGATTTGACACATTGAGCCACAAACGTATCACCCCATGCTGGTTGTGCCTTCCCCCCCCAAGGCCACCTTGCCATTACACAGGAAGATACAAAGCCCAGGTTCTGCCCCACAGAGCACCACCAGCTGGCTGCCTCGGCCTAGCAGACCCCTTCCTTGCAGTGCCATCATTCCCCAGCCCTAGCCTTGCTGGAGGGCACTCTCTGGGGTTCACAAACCACTGTCCAATCACAGGCATGGTATGGCATTGCTCCAGCTGGAATGAGAGCTTCTCCCTGCTACTAGAAATATGAGTTGGCAGCACCATGAATAGCCTTCCAGCAGCTTCCATGCTCTAGGAAGTTAGATTGTTTGAGCCCCTCCAACACTAACAGATTTTCCTGTTAGGAGGCAGACTTATAATACCACACCCTAAGCTGGTCCTGAAGTAAAGTAAAAACAAGAGAGGTTATTTCCTCCATTCAGCAGCTCTCAAGACACATCCCCCAAATACTTTGCTCCAAGTCACACAGCCCCAACCCCACCTCCTGGCTTTGGTCACTTGGAAATACAAGAAGTATTTCCCTCTCTTTTCCCCATATAAAAGGCATCTGTTGAGTGAGATGGGTTTTATTCTGCATGTTGTGAAATGGTGGTGGTTGGAATTTGATCTAGGTGGTGATTCTTGCTGGGAGATGACCCTGCAGCCCAGACATCTTGCTGAAACTCTTTCCTGATGTTCAGCCTCCCAGCTCCCTGGGAGCATCCCTGGCCCTTTGCTCTGGGTTTGCTGGGCAAAGAAACCAGGGCAAGGCCCCTTCCAAGGACAGCCCAGAGCGATTCCCATGCCCTCCTTCTCTATCTCTTGCAGGTCTGGTTCAAAAACCGCAGAGCTAAATGGAGGAAACGAGAGAGGAACCAACAGGCTGAACTGTGCAAGAACAGCTTTGGAGCCCAGTTCAATGGACTGATGCAGCCTTATGATGACGTGTATTCCAGCTATTCCTACAACAACTGGGCCACCAAGGGGCTCGCCACCAGCCCGCTCTCAGCCAAGAGCTTTCCATTCTTCAACTCCATGAATGTCAGTCCCCTCTCCTCCCAGCCCATGTTCTCCCCACCCAGCTCCATCACCTCAATGACCATGCCTTCCTCCATGGTCCCTTCTGCAGTGACAGGAGTACCAGCCTCTAGCCTCAACAACCTGGGAAACATCAACAACCTGAACAGCCCGAGCCTCAACTCTGCTGTCTCATCCAGTGCCTGTCCTTACGCCTCAACAGCCAGCCCCTACATGTACAGGGACACATGCAACTCCAGCCTGGCCAGCCTGCGGCTGAAGGCCAAGCAGCACGCCAACTTCACCTACCCGGCAGTGCAGACGGCAGCTTCCAACCTGAGCCCTTGCCAATACGCTGTGGACAGGCCTGTATGAAGGGCTGCCCTCTGCCAACCAGGGACTTGACCTTAGCCTGACAAAAGGAGACCTTTAGCCCTACAACAGCGTACGTCCTGCAGAGAATGAGAGCGAACATGAGAGCGTAAGAGGGAGAGGGAGAGAGAGAGAGAAGTGAGCAGGCAGACAAACCTTTACAAAGATTTGTCTATCGTATGGTGAATTTTGACTGTCTTTCCCCTTCAAAACCCCTTCCCTTCTTGCCTACTAAAACTCCTCCTCCTCCATAAAGAAACCAAAACACTCTACTGGAAGCCCTAGTGGAGAAATAGGAGCCCCAACATGCAGGGTGCCTGACCCACGGGCAGCAGAACCAAGTATGTTTCAATCTTCCCCTCCAAACTCCACAGGGGTGAGCCCCCCAAATCCTTGGAATAGCGTGGGCAGACACACTTCACCCCTGCAGGGCATAGCCAGAGACAGGACAATGTGGGTGGTGCCATTTGGTGCTTGGCTGACCCATTTTCTCTGCACATGTGCAAGACTTCAGTTAAAGATATCTTGCCCATTTATTTATCATAAGGATAATGAAGCCAGTAAGGAAGCCTTGTCTCAATTAATTGGCATCTCTCTTTATAATGCATATATACACATGGCCCTTCAGACTTGAAGTCTTTAGGAGCTGGGGGTTGTAAGAATATAAAATATGTGTCTGTATATATATCTTATATATATGCAAATACATATATAGACATTAAAATATGCTTTTTTGTTTTGTATGTGAAATAACCTACAAAGTAGACCTTAAAACCAAAAACCCTGTAAAGGAAGCACATCCACTGAGGCAGTGTCCTGCCTGTCATGCTTTACTGCTTCAGTCATTTCCAGTCAGACACAAACACTGTTGCCAGTGTACATCCAAAACACCCCTTTTTGCAACCGTCAGCTCCTCCTTGCACATCTCCTTCCCTTCCCTTCTCCAAATCCCATTTCCAAAAGAGATAATAAAATAAAAGTTGGCACAATCCCTTTAAGCTTCTGCTTGTCTGGTTATTGAGAGCACAAACATGCATCTGAAGATTTTTAAATCGAGTGCCATCAGCCTGGCAAGAGTGAGCATCTTTAGGAGCACTAGCATGAGGCAGCCCAAGCTGGAACAGGGGCTGAGTTCTGGAGGAGCCAGTTTCATCCATTCAGTGGATGAAAGATATGCCTGACTATGCAGAGCAGAAGGCCAACTCCAGCACATGTTTCTCGCTATTTCCTTTGGGAGCCAGTGGGGAAAAGTCAAGACTTAGTTTAGGTACTGATTTTTCAGCCTGAGGTTTTCTATGGAATTAACATTACTCCAGATCACTCTGATTTCTAAACAGGACAAACTCAGTCAGTACCCACACAAGGTAACTAGTACATGCCAGCGTGTGTGGCCAGTGTCTCTGCAGGCTGGCCTAGTTGTCTCAAGTTTCTCCTTCCCAGTGCTGCACGGAGATGATGTTGTGGTCTGTCTCTGCAGTCAAAGGTATTGCACCATGTAGGATCCAGGCCAGGTGACAAACCACACGCCAGCTCTGGGCTGAGAGCACTTTGTACAGTGACCTAATGACTGATACAACCACATGAAAACCTTAAAATCTGCAGAAAACAGAGAAAGCAAATAACGAAGTAAGCAAGTTGGCAGCAGAGAGCTCTGGGAGAGGTCCCTTGTTTTTCAAATTCCAGCTGCCTTCCTGATGCAGCTGGGCCAGTACAGCCTTCCACATTCGGCTCCCTCCCCATGGGGCCAGGACATGGACATCATGCTCTCTGGTCCAGCACAAACACAGCAGGTTTACTACATGTGTACTCCAAACCTCCTCCAAGACCTCTCTCTCCCACACAAGTCCCCAGTACCTTCACAGCTATGTCTTCTTAGTACTGCAAAGAAAGCAGGCCATTTTTAGCAGGGTCCTGCTTATTCTGAAGACCTGTTAGGCAGATAACTTTGTCACTGGATACTTCCCAATCTGCAGATTTAGCAAGTGCGCATTCTCCTCCATCATCCAGGTCATTAGTGGAAATGCTGAGCAAAACCAGTCCTGGAACAGATGTCCCTGAACCTCACTCAACAGACCCCTTCCTTTTCAACAGTGACCTGTGGATACTTCTGGTTATAATTATTCAATAGGTTTTGTACCTACCCAATATCTCATCTAGATGGCAGCAAGAGCTCTTCTTCACCATGCCATTGCTCTGTCATAAAGGAAATTTGGATTATTTTGACCAGATTCCATTCTTGATGGGTCCATATACCTCCCATTCATCTCCACTGCTTACAAACAGTGAGATTGTTTGTTCTAGCATTTTTGGGTGGTGATGGGGCTGGGATTTAACTATCAGCAGTCCCTGGATTTTGGTCTCAGTCCCTGTTTTGAAGAGGGGGTACAAAGCTTGCATTTTACTGTCTTTCCAAGCTTCAGTGTCTCTCAGGAGTTCTCATAGATAACAATAACTAATTCTGGGATTGTTTTGTGTGAAGTTCACCACACCCAGATAGTCTGAAAAACTCCTGTTTATCTAAATACTCTCTTGCACTTTTCTTATTCAAGGACAGCCTTCAGCCCCCATCACCGGCATGGCTTGTGCTCTCCGTTTCTCCGTAGCTGTCCGAGTCTGAAGACTAAGGCAAAGTGCACCGAACAGTTGGGTGTCCTCAGTGGCTGCCGTCAGTGCTTCCCCTCCACCGAAAAGCAGCGTAGCACAGACCCTGTTCAGTATCCTCTTGTTCATACAACGGGGGATGTTTTCTGACTCCCCTTGCTTGGTGCGTGCTGTCAGTATAGCCCCGAACGGCGGGGTGGATGCGAACCTCCGAGCCCCTGCTGCGCGTGTTAACAACTGGGTTCAGGTAGACCCACGGCTGTGAGAGGTGGCTCTAATTTCTGTCTTAATCGCCGTTTCGGACCCCGTTGCCGCCGGGCAGCGCGGGCGGCGGGTGTCACCTACCGGCGGGCAGCGGATGCCGGTGGGCATCGCGCTCCTGCCCCGCGCCGGAGGATGGATAAAGCCTCCGGAAAAAAAAGCCCCTCTTGCTCCCCGCCGGCTCCCTAGCCTTGCTTCATCGGTTCTAGCAACCTGGGGCCCCGTCTACTCCCGCCCCCAGGAAACCTTCCTCTTCGCAGCACGTCCTCTGCCCGGCCCTTGCCAGAGCTGCAGGGCTGCTCCCCCGCATCCCGCAGCCTCCGTACATCCCTTCGGCTGCCCCTAAGCCAAGCTGCTCCAGCTGTGCAAGGGTCCTCAAAGACGCCTTCAGTGGGGACCATGGCTCCCCCTGAGCAGTGACTCCTGCATGAGAGGCAACCGATTGCTCTTCATTCCCTCGAAGTAAAACAAACACCCCCCCCCACCAACCCAACAAAAATAGACAAATCCTCAAGATACATCCCCTCCAAATCATGCCCACTGTCTGCTTCAGCTCACCAGCACACGTAAGAAGGACTTTTCTTCACAGAGTACCAGGAGGAGTCATTTCCAGAGAGCTTCAGGGAAATAGCACTGACCTGGGAGAGTGCTGTTATTAGCTCCCTAAGCCCCAGCAAGCACCACCACTTTACTCTCACCCACAGCTCAGCACTCCAGAAAACTTGCCAAACAGTAGCAATAATATAAAACACATGAGAAATAGAAGTCTTCCCCTTCCTAGGTCTGGTAAATTTATTGCTATCTCTTGTTTAGCCAGAGAGAACAGCAGAGCAAAGGGGCTAATGCTGGGCTTGCCGATGGTGTGCATTCCCTGGGGAGCGTGTAGGGCAGGTGGGGCAAGGCAGCACTGGAAAGGGGGTACCCTCACATTCTGAGTGGATGGATGTGGCCATCTGAAGAGCTGCGGTGCCTCTTGAAGGGGGAGAGAGAGTCTCTGCAACACACCCTCAGCAAACCCTCCTTCTGCTGGGTTGATTCCTGCCCCATGAAAGATACTTCCTACCCAAACAGCATGCACGGATGGGCCTACAAAGAGCTCTTCCAGAGGTGAAGTCTTCTGGAGATGCAGAGCCCTGCCTCCAGTGCCCTGGTCTGCACTGCGGAGTGGGGCGGCACCAGCAGAGCAAGGGTAGTCAGATAGCTCACTTATCCCACAGAGCATCACCTCTGAAGCATCAAAAACATGTCAGGCATTTTAGGCAGAAAAACAGTAACACCACTTTTCAGTGTTTTTGTCTGGCTAAGCCCAGAGAGTTGTGGGGAATGGAGCTAAATCCAGTTGGTGGACAGTTGCTAGTGGTGATCCTCAGGGCTCAGTTTCAGGGCTGGTCCTGTTTAACATCTTTATTGATAATCTGGACACAGGGATGGAGTGCACCCTCAGTAAACCTGCAGAAGACATTAAGTTGGATGACCTGCTAGAAGGTAGGAAGGCTCTGCAGAGAGACCCAGTCAGATTTGACCAATGGGCTAAGAACAACTGCATCAAGTTCCATAGGGCAAAGTGCCGGGTCCTGCACTAGGGTCGCAGCAACCCCTTGCAGCACTACAGGCTGGGGGGTGAGCAGCTTGAGAGCTGTTTGGCAGAAAGGGACTTGGGGGTGCTGTTTGACAGCTGGCTCAATTCGAGCCAGCAGTGGGCCCATGTGGCCAAGAAGGCCAGTGACTTCTTGGCCTGTATCAAGAATAGTGTGGCCAGCAGGACTAGGGAAGTGATCATCCCCCTGTACTCAGCCCTGGGGAGGCCGCACCTCGAGTGTTGCATTCAGTTCTGGGCCCTCACTTTGAAAAGGACATTGAGCTGCTGGAGCATGTCCAGCAAAGAGCAACAAGGTTCCTGAAAGGACTAGAAAACATGTCTTGTGATGAATGGCTGAGGGAGCTGGGTTTGTTTAGTCTTGAGAAGAGGAAGATCAGGGGAGACCTTATCACTCTCTACAACTATTGGAAAGGAAGCTGTAGTGATGCTGTGACTGGTTTCTTCTACTGTGCCTGCAGTGAAAGGATTAGAGGAAAGGGCCTAAAGCTGAGACAGGGGAAATTCAGATTAGATATTAGAAAATTTTGTTTCACTGTTAGGGTGGTCAGGCATTGGAATAGATTGCCCAGGTAGGTGGTGGAGTCACCATCCCTGGAGGTGTTTAAGAGACTTCTGGATCTGGCACTGAATGATGTGGTTTAGTGTTTTAGAGGTTACAGTGGAAGCGCTGCATTGAAGGCTGGACTTGATGATCCTAAAAGTCTCTTCCAGTCTTGATGACTCTATGATCCGGTGTTTGTGCAGATGCCTGAGACAGCTGAGGGAGCATTGCTGGGGCAGCTGTGGGCACATGTAAGGAGAGAGCTGGCAGTTGCCTCACCAGCACCATGCTTGTCATAGAAAGTGCCCCAAATAGCACCATGCAGGAGAGAGATCACCCCATTACTCCCATATGTTCACCATCCCCTCCCTAAAGAGAGCTTCCAAATGTGGAAGGCAGTTTATTCCTATTCTCCAAACACCTCAGCTGACTGCTTCTGCATTTCCAAAAGCTGTGGAAGGTGCTGTTACACTACTACCCACCACGCTGGGAAGTCCAGAGTGGGAGCCCTTGTCAGGGAAGGCTGGGCAGGACACAAACTGATGCCATCTCCTGGGATAAAAGTGCAACCCACAGCCCTGTGGTAGGTTTCTAGCCCACTGCCTCAAACAGCCAAATCCCATTCACCAGGTAGGAGCCAGCACACAAACAGAGGCTTGGACACTGGGGTGCTCCTGGCCAGACTCAGGCTCTGAGGCTCATCTTGACTTCATGAAGCACAGTGACTTTGAAAAGCCACATGCTCAGTTCAGATGGCAAAACAACAGCCTGAATTTTATCATCTCTCTCTCTCATTTCTAGTTCCCTCATGGTGAGCAAAGGGGCTCGAGAAGTAAGACCAGCTCTTGATGACTGCAGAAAGGGTAAGCATAGAGGGACTGAATCTGCCAGATACCTTGCTAACCCTCAGAAAGACAAAGTATTGAAACAGAGAAAGCAACGCTTCTCTCACAGTTCTGTACAAAGGTCAAGTACGAAAAAGACATAAAAAAAAA